AAACATGAGGCAGCGCTGCGTGAGGTGGAGGGTAACAAAACTTTCACTGCGGTTTCTGCACACTTGAGTTCCTTCACTTTGAAATGAAGCATCTCGGAGCTTGTTTGTGATTGTGTACTTATTGTATATATCTTAATGTTACATTTATGGTTTTGCAGACATTCATACCAAGCAACTTGTAAAAATGTAGTTGCACATATTATTCTATTTTCTGAAGAAAATGTGAATGGTGTTTGTCTATTTAAAATCCACTGCCAGTCAGGGTTGCCAAGTCTGAGGTTTTCCCGTGGAATTGGGATATTTTTAAACTGTTAAATGTTTTAAAATTTTTGACCTATTGCATAAATTATATTTGACTTAAATGCTTGTATTGAAATATTTGATATTCTCCCAAAGATAGAACTGTGCTAGAAGATTTGTGATCACTATGAAATACAGTAGTGGTTTTCATTTTGCATAACAGTTGTGTAAAATGTGTTTTAGGTATGGGAATGGCATTTTTTGAGTTTTGAAATTTGGGTTATGGTCATTGGGCTATTTTTGATTGGCCAATGGGCTAGTTTTGTTCTGCAGACCTGGCAACTCTGCTGCCAGTTTTCTTAGTGGTTGCTTATTGGCTCTGGTCAAGGTTGTTGTTGTTGTGTGTGTGTGTGTGTGTGTGTGTGTGTGTGTGTGTGTGTGTGTGTGTGTGTGTGTGTGTGTGTGTGTGTGTGTGTGTGTGTGTGTGTGTGTGTGTGTGTGTGTGTGTGTGTGTGTGTGTGTGTGTGTGTGTGTGTGTGTGTGTGTGTGTGTGTGTGTGTGTGTTTTCATTGTGACTTACACGTTTAAATTTGTAATTAAATTTTTTTAAATTTTATAATTTTGTCATTCAAAATTTTATATATATGTAAAATATAAATATTTAAATATATAAAATATTTGTTTTTTTTAAATATAACATTTTAATTTGTACATTTATTATTTTGTTTAATTTATTATTTTTATTATTTATTTGTATTCATAAATCACAATTTTGTCATTCAAAATGTTATATATATGTATATATACTAAATTATAAATATTTAAATATATAAAATATTTGTTTTTTAAAATATAACATTTTAATTTGTACATTTTATTGGGATTTAATTATTATTTTTATTTATTTTTATACATAAATGTATTTACTTTAAAAAAATGGTAGTTTATTTTACAAAGAATATGCATTATATTATATTGTATTTCCAGTATAATAATAGTAATAATATTGTATAATTTATATATCAAATATTTAAAAAATCTAAATGCACACACACACACACACACACACACACTAATATTATTATATTAATAATAGCAAATATTAGTTTCATTTCATATTAGTTTACAAACTGTGTACAAAACATGCACAAAGTTTTGCAATAATAGCTGTAAGTTGTCTAGGTATTATAATTATACAGGAGACTCCAAACATACAGTATATAAATTCATAAACACTTTTACTGGAAAATTATACCAAGACTATAATGGCGCTTTTCCACTGCTGGTACGGCTCAGTACGGTTCGGCTCGGCACAGCACGGCTCGGTTCGCTTTAAAGTGGGTGGGATTATAGTCTGACCGTAATACACTCACCTAAAGGATTATTAGGAACACCATACTAATACTGTGTTTGACCCCCTTTCACCTTCAGAACTGCCTTAACTCTACGTGACATTGATTCAACAAGGTGCTGAAAGCATTTTAAAGAAATGTTGGCCCATATTGATAGGATAGCATCTTGTAGTTGATGGAGATTTGTGGGATGGACATCCAGGGCACGAAGCTCCCGTTCCACCACATCCCAAAGATGCTCTATTGGGTTGAGATCTGGTGACTGTGGGGGCCATTTTACTACAGTGAACTCATTGTCATGTTCAAGAAACCAATTTGAAATGATTCGAGCTTTGTGACATGGTGCATTATCCTGCTGGAAGTAGCCATCAGAGGATGGGTACATGGTGGCCATAAAGGGATGGACATGGTCAGAAACAATGCTCAGGTAGGCCGTGGCATTTAAACGATGCCCAATTGGCACTAAGGGGCCTAAAGTGTGCCAAGAAATCATCCCCCACACCATTACACCACCACCACCACCAGCCTGCACAGTGGTAACAAGGCATGATGGATCCATGTTCTCATTCTGTTTACGACAAATTCTGACTCTACCATCTGAATGTCTCAACAGAAATCGAGACTCATCAGACCAGGCAACATTTTTCCAGTCTTCAACTGTCCAATTTTGGTGAGCTCTTGCAAATTGTAGCCTCTTTTTCCTGTTTGTAGTGGAGATGAGTGGTACCCGGTGGGGTCTTCTGCTGTTGTAGCCCATCCGCCTCAAGGTTGTGCGTGTTGTGGCTTCACAAATGCTTTGCTGCATACCTCGGTTGTAACGAGTGGTTATTTCAGTCAAAGTTGCTCTTCTATCAGCTTGAATCAGTCGGCCCATTCTCCTCTGACCTCTAGCATCAACAAGGCATTTTCGCCCACAGGACTGCCGCATACTGGATGTTTTTCCCTTTTCACACCATTCTTTGTAAACCCTAGAAATGGTTGTGCGTGAAAATCCCAGTAATTGAGCAGATTGTGAAATACTCAGACCGTCTGGCACCAACAACCATGCCACGCTCAAAATTGCTTAAATCACCTTTCTTTCCCATTCTGACATTCAGTTTGGAGTTCAGGAGATTGTCTTGACCAGTGACCACACCCTTAAATGCATTGAAGCAACTGCCATGTGATTGGTTGATTAGATAATTGCATTAATGAGAAATTGAACAGGTGTTCCTAATAATCCTTTAGGTGAGTGTAGTTTATCCGCTCCTCAGCAACCAACGAGAGGAACGTCTGCACTTCGTCCACTGACCACGATTCAGCCATTACTTTTTTGGAAGTTTTCTTTCTTTCTTTTTTCTTCAAGCAAGTCGTTTTAAAACAGGTGCTACAGCGGTGGCTGACTGACTGTTACTATTTAAATCTAGCGGGTTTGATGTCTTGCAAATACAATGACGCTGGTAGTGACGATTCTGTCTGACCAATCAGTGATCTGCAGTGTTTTCACGTCACATTTTAGTATCGGTACGGTACGCTTGGAACCTCAACAGAGGTGGTACCATTTAAAGCGAGCCGTACCGTACCGTACCATGCAGTGGAAAAGCGCCACAAGTGAGCCGTGCCGAGCTGTACCGTACCATGCAGTGGAAAAGTGCCATGAGATGTCATTCATGCAGTTTCAACAAAACGTCATCTATGTTAGCCAGCGATTTGACAAGCTGAAGTTGGCAATCAGAATTTACAACCAAATATCACAGAAAATTAAATGTTTACATTTTTCAAGGTCTAAAACTTGCACGCACATGATCAACACGACATACAGCGACGGTTCCATCAACTGGCCCCAAATTCTCTCACATTGGCCCCCGGCCAGTGGGACGTCCTTATTACAGAGCCCTGAATAATGATAGCAAAAGTGATGCCTTCCTCAGCAAACACCACTAATAATGTTGTGTTATGTAAGGTAGAATTGGATGTGTTTCAAGGTTTGAAGGATTCGTTTAGCATTAGTCAAGTCAATGGGAGGATGTGTGAATTGTGAGAGACTTAATTACTGACTGAAGTCGCAAGGCTTTGGTAGTCGTAGGTTTTGGTGATGTACTGAGAGCTACAAACAAGCAAAGACTTTAAACTAGAGTGATTCTCCCTCATGCTAACAGTTCAATTCCCAGGCCTCTTGTTAGAAGCAGTTAAACTAAGAGGCCTTCCTTAAGAACTAATGAGCCTACACAGTACGACAGACAAAGACACTGAGATTAAAGGGTCGATGTTGAGTTTATACACTCCTTAGCCTTTACCATAATGCAAAAAGGAGATTTTTTTTTCTTTTCATTTGTAGGCGCTGATCTCTCTCCCCCCCATGCTCGCGCATACACATCTTCTGCCGCTCTTCACACTCCCTCTTTGTGTTCTCTCGGGATTAGCTGGCTCTTGTCAAAAAGAAAAGGCGGATTTCATTTAATGGAGAGAGGGATTTGCAGAACAGACAGGTTTACAAGTTGCCTTTACCTCTGCGTGTAAGGAAAGCGCTTTCTCTACAGCGCTAAGCTGTGCCATTCAGAAAGTGTGGAGGGTTTGGATAGCGTGGCACAATGGCTTCTAACTAAACTGCCCATTGTCGACAGTTAAAAACTGAAGTTTGGAATGATTACTTTAGCGATTAAAGTGCAATTGTGCAATGCTTAGTGGTTGAACATATGCTGGCTATATTTGATTATTGCAGTTACGAGGTATAAATGAGGTTTAAATCTGTGACTTAATGAATTTAAATAAATAGTAGATGATTGAAACATTCATTTCTTCCTAAATAAAATAAATATAAAATAAGGTTTAGGACAAAATTCAAATTTCCTTCAAAATAAAAGAATGTCTGATCTATTAAATATGATTTGAAATCAATTTCATTCAATTCGTTTTTGAATAATTTGTAGTCTTGTTTTTATTTATTTAAATTTATTGTGAATAAACATCTTATTTATTAGTCTCATATCTTCGATTATTGTGAACATTATTCAAACAAATATTAAATGAATAAATATAACATTAAAAAGGAGACTGCAAAATATTAAAAGAATAGTTTTATACAAAATCCACGAGATTTATTCAAAATATTTATTTTATTTTATTTTGAATTTGAAGAATGTGTGATCTTTTAAGATATTTCCAGTTGCTTCCCTTCTTGCATTATCTTGATATGATTCACCAAGGATACATTTATTTTGATATTCTTTTATTTAAGAGTTTTGGATTGCAAAACCCTGCTGAAGCATTGTTCAGTTCAGCTGGAAAAATTGTGAAACTTACAACTCTCTTTGAACAATCTTTTGATTTATGAAGTTGAAGTACAGGATCCAAGGGCATTTGAAATGAAAGAACAGGTGTTGTAAAGAATAAAACAGAAAATTGAATGTTTCTTCCTTGTTTTGGCAGACCGGATGGCATGGGCACTGTTACAGAACAGGAGAGGGAGGAGTTTGAGGAGATCAGGAGCAGACTGTTGACTTTATTGGAGAAGCAGATCACACATTTCAGGTAAGATGAGCTACCACATCCACTTCATCTTAATAATGTACATCAATTTATTAAAATAACTAATCTACAGACACCTTCAACATTTCTCACATTATCACAGTTTATTCGCTATAGTTTAGAAAATGGTAATAAAATATGACAAGAACTCAGAGTTATCAAATCAGTTGATATTTCACTGGTTTTGGCCATCCTTCTGTTAAACTGTCTCACAGATGAATTAGGTTGAATAGCTGCTAAATTTAAGTACACAATTAGATAATACCAATTTAGGTCAAGCAATTACCAAGCAATGCTTAATGTTTTTTCAGTCTGTGGTGTAAAAGTGTCGCATTAGCAATTAAAGAAAAAACACTTATGCAAAACATGGTCAGGTCAAAGTATCTGAATAATTTTTGGTCCCAAACTTTTATAAATGTTACTGGTAGTCCACTCTATCAAGAATTTTGGGGTATAATGTCACTGTTTACTTTATTTTGCTATCCTCACTTACAGAAATTAACTATGTCCTGCACCCACTAGTAAAAAAAAAAAAAAAAAATTATATATGCTGTCTGAATAATGTTTGGGTTGACTGTATATTAAAAAGAAAATCAGCAAATGTTCGGATATTGTCAGCAAATGGATTCCAGATCTATTTTGATAAGGTTGCAAACATCAGGGAAAAAATCCAAATGATAAAAACGAACTATATAATCATGTAATTACATTGTAATAACAGTGTATTAACAATGTAATATCTGGTCCCTGAAGCAAAAGTATAGCATCTCAGCTTACAGTTTACTCGTTTACCAGACCCCCTCCTGATTGGTCCTCGTTTTCAACCGACCTCCCGCTGGCCCCCCTCAGTAGAGTGCTGGAAACACTAGTAAAGAGGGTTTGAGTCTTGCTTTTGCAGCAGAACCTAATAAAACCACTCCAACAAAAGCTACAAACAGCATCTCAGATTATGCAAATGGGACGGCAGAGAGAGGCCAGGCCGGTGCGGGGCGTGCCGGGGATTAAGCGTGGGTCCCAGCCCAAGCTGATTAGACCTTGTTGAGTCACTTGTTAAGTGTGCCTCTTGCCCCACATGCACGAAAAAAAACGCGTCGAGGGCCGTTCGGGTGGACTTTCACACCTGTGGTGTGAGGCCTTTATGAGAAGCACTTCTCTTTCGCCTTCATTCATCCCATTTAGCATTGTCCCGTACGTACGCTGACACCTGTCCCTCCTCAACAGGCTTTGGAAAACATCTCTATTTAAAAGACGTAATTATTGTCCCATGATAGCTGAGAAACAGCGGTTTGTGACTGACTCCTTCAGCTTGTGCTCAGTCTTCTTTCTTCTACGTCGTTAATTACCACTCGAGTCTTACCCCTTGTCTTCTTGCCCGTAGGTACTGTTTCCCCTTCGGGCGACCGGAGGGGGCTCTTAAAGCCACACTCTCTCTTCTAGAAAGGGTGAGTGTCCTCCAATTAACTGTGCATGCTTTGCACCTTATATGCATGTCTTGTGTGTACTAGCATGTGCTTAAAGTGAAATAAATGAGAGGAAAAGTGTCATTCTTCAGGCTCTGATGAAAGACATCACCACACCTGTCCCAACTGAAGAGATGCACAAGATAGTTCAGAAGTGCCTGGAAAAAGCTGCGCTCATCAATTACTCCCAGCTGACCGACTACGCCCAGATCGAAGGTTCTCACAGAATACTTTTCAGGGCTCAAAAGTAAGGATTTTTTTTGGGGTTTTTGATGGCCCTTGTCAGCCAGTAGTTTGGATTTGAGAAGAGAAATCTGGCTGAACACCTGCCAATGGTTTCAGCGACCCCAGCGCACACAAAAAATACACTATCGTTCATATGCTTCATTTTAATATGCTTTAAGACAAACCATGTGCAAATTCATAAGTCAACACATGCAGAGTATTTTCTCTTTAAAACTGCGGAAACTGTATCACAGGAAAATACAGAAATGTGTAATTTTGGTGATCAAAGATGAGTTTTAAGGGATACAATTATTGACTACAGGGGGACTTTAAATAAAGAAAAATAAATCTGCAACCGGTATCAGAATCGGCCAATTTGCTTGGAAAAGAAATTGCCCATGAAAAATCTAAATTGGTGCATCACTGATAAAAAAATATTAAATAAAACATTCGCTGCAAAAACAAATGCCGTTTTCAAAGAGCACTGTGTTTTTCTAGTTTTCTTGCATATTAATTTGTGGTTAATATTAATGTAACTGTCAGCACACTTAAATCTCCACTTAAAAAAGGGAATTCGGCCCGCTCATGGTTACATTTTTACATACGGCCCTCAACCTAAAATGAGTTTGACAACCCTGTACACTAGAGATGCGCGGATGGGCTATTATTTCATCCGCAACCGCATTACAAAACTCATCATCCGTCCGCTATCCATCCGCACCAACGTTTTTTGACCAATTTTCAAAACCGCACCCGCCCGCCATCCGCTGATTGGGCGATACAAGGCGCTGCTGATGACAGCCGCGAGACTAGAAAGCTCTCAGAATATCAGCAGTGTCTCCGATCAGCGCGCAGGGACAAAAATAAATAAATAGCCTAAATTAAACGCACTTCGGCAAACCTGACCTTATCTGATAGGCTACTGTACAATATTTTCATTGTAGCCTAATAGAAAACGCATTTTGGCACATAATTTCAACATGCTGCTATTATGGGGCGCCAACAATGTTACGTGACAGTTCTCCATTACGGACGCGACCTCTCTGTGAAAGTTTCAAAGTCTTTTAGTGCCGCTTTCAGAGACCTCAAACAGAAGCACAAAGCCTTTCTTTAAAGCGAATTTCTTAATTTTAATCCATGTTTCATTAACCAATTTCCATGGATTTAATAAATAAAAAGTAAATAGTCTATCTTGATTGTGTAGGCTATTTTTCATTATAAAATATTAGGCTGTGTATACCGACATGGATCAATTATTAATTTTAGATTTCATCTGTCTTTTGTAGTTCTAGCTGATGGCGCACCAACAAACAAGCACTGACTTCGGCGTTTCTTTAATATCGAGGCTCTATAGTTTATTATATGATTGTTAGGCCTGTTGATGGTATAAAATGAATTGCACTGTGCCTTAAAAAGACGCGCTCTCCGCTCTCTTCCCGTGCATTCAAAATTAACGGGAGTCTTCAGAACAGGCTCGTCCAGCGTCAACAGCACCGAACTTAGTTCCAATGTCAATCAACGTCTGGGCCACTAGGTGGAATCCTTTACCATAATTTTTTTTTTGATTGTAGGTATAGTCAGATAACAATATTTAACAATGTATACATATATTTTTCATTTGATTGGTTCAACTGCCCGCCACCCGCCCGAATTTAATTAAAATAGTTTTTTTCGTCACGTCATCCGCCCGATCCGCGCTTTATCCGCGGAGTCCGCGGCTGTAACCGCCAACCGCGCATCTATATACACTAAAAAATTGTTTCAACTTAATTAAGCGTACAAGCTGCCTTAAAATTTAGAAGTTTAGTCAACTTGAAATGTGAAGTTGTATTAACTAACTGGTACGTAGTTAATACAGTCAGCTTTTTTTTACAGTGTAGCTGGCCAAATACTTATTGTTGAGCCCTTTAGATCTATTGCTTTAAGTTCTTACATTTAGTTTGTGTGGAGTGTTGGAGATTTGGTGTGACTGTCCGGACGTCTGTGTGTCAGCAGATAGCAGCCAGGCGTCTCCAGAGAAAAGACTGGAGGACATGATCAGACTAGGAGAGCTGTGTATGGAGGTGTTACAGCAGAACGATGAGCATCACTCTGAGGTTAGACCTGTGAAATATCTCTTGATAAAGTCCGGACTATTTCCTGCTATGAAAGCCTTCATTTATTTTCATTACGTCTCTGTTATCAATGCTTCTTGTTTCTCGTATTACAACTCAATACCAGCACCTTTTTGTTCATAATGAATCCGCCATCGATCCTTTCATATATCTTCCAGTCCTTTACAACATAGGTTGAGAAAAACCCACAGTAACATAGACAGAGATTCAGTCTTTGTTTATCATCGGGTCTTTTGGTTTTGCATGTTTCTCCAGAAGGTATTGCATGATCATTTCAGAGCGGACTCGTGATCATTTACCGTCTCGCTGTCCATTTACTTCGCCACGTTGCCGTAACAGCTGTTAGCGAGTGACAGCTTACTCGTCCAGTGCCAGCTCATAGTAGCGGCACAGGAAAACAACGCCCACGGCCCATCTGCACAAGGCCAGCGCCCGCTATCGCTCTCACATCAACTTTAAAAAAAAAGAAAAGATCAAAGGAAATTCATCAATACTAGGTGTTAAGGCTTCGTAGAAAGTAACAGCAAGCATTTTCCTTACTAATAATGTGGATGTAGACATCTGCTGGCAAGGTACCGGGCTATTTTTAGGCCTCAAGCTTTCAACAGGTGTCACAGATGACAGAGACAATGATGCCAGAACGCAGGCTGTGCCTAACAAGACAAATGTCCCACGTGCTGTCACTAAGGAAACATCAAGGTGTGTGTGTGTGTGTGCGTGATGTGCTCAGATCTACATTAGTGAAATTATGGTCACACTTACAGTTTGAAACTAGGAGTAAAACATTTTCTAATCAAATGTTTTACATGGAAAGTGTATCACTTGTGAAAATATGTTCACTATGCTTAAGAATGTGTATGTCTATTTGATATTTCTCTCTTTCTTTACCACTCCTATGTTTGTAATGCGTTAGGGAAGAGAGGTAAGGTTCATCTTATATTTTATTGTTGTGTTGTGTTGGGTTGTGTTATTTAGCATTTGCACCTCATTTATTTTTATTTATCATTCATGCTTTTACAAACAAAACAGACTGGGTGTCATTTAGCACAACGTATATTTGTGTGTTAAAGCATTTTCACACAGACAAGGAAATCAAAAAGTTGCCCTCTTTTTTTGCACTTTCTAAATTTATTTCCATTAACCACTGACTCTTTGAACTGCTATAAATATCAAATATACTGTAGCTCAAAAGTTTTGGGGATCAGTAAGATTTGTTTATTTTTTTGAGAGAGAGAAATTGGTACTTTAATTCCGCAAGGATGCATTAAATTGTTCACAAGTCATAGTAAAGACATTTATAATGTTACAAATTATTACTGATTTATACAAAAGATTTATATTTCAAATAAATGCCGTTTAAAAAAAAATGCTTTATTATTCATCAAAGAATTCTGAAAAATGTATCGCAACTTTTAACTTTTCAACTGATAATCGTAAGAAATGTTTCTTGAGCAGAAAATCAACAAATTAGAATGATTTCTGAAGAATCATGTGACACTGAAGACTGGAGTAATGATGCTGAAATAATAAAATATTTTTTAAAAAAAATAACATTTTAAAATATATTAAAAATAGATCGATTTTAAATTCTGTACAATTGTATTTAATTTTGTACACTCTGTTTATCAAATAAATGCAGTCTTGGCAAATATAAGAGACTTCTTTTAAAAACTTTTTTTAAACTTTTTGAAGTTTAAGTATTTCAGAAAGTCAATAACGTGTCCGGTAGTTATTTTCAAATTTATAAATAAAATAAAATAATTAATATGGTTAATATACATTTTGTTAAATATATTATTCATATACTACAATAAGATGATAAAAGTCTGGAATAGTTTCGGCAATATTTACATATAATATTTTTTTTTCCAGAATATCAATTCTGCATAAAAATGCATCAAATAACATGCAGTCAAGGCTGAGATTGTGAGGAAAGACCTTATATGGAGATAGTTTGGGTGTGTATTATGCTAATTACTGAGGGATTTGATCTTTGAAGGATCACGTGACACTGAGAATGGAGTAATGATGCTGAAAATTCAGCGTTGCATCACAGGAATAAATTACATTTTAAAATATATTCAAATAGAAAACAGTTATTTCAAATTGTAATAATATTTCACAATATTATTGTTTTTTACTGTATTCTTGATCACATAAATGCAGCCTTGGTGAGCAGAAGAGATTTTACCGACTAGGGATGGGCATTATTAATCGACGATCGATAATTGATCATTAAGAATTTCGTCGATCATGTTAATTTGTTATCGATAAAACTAAAACTAAAAAAAACTAAAAAAAAAAAAAAAAAAAAAAAAATCCTTTCCTCTAAATCCTCGCTTGCCTGGCTTATGCTACTCCGAGCTATGTCTGAACTTTGTATTTTGAGCACTTCTTGCGTTGCTTTTGCCTCTTCACGATGACTCGCTTGGTTTAGTCCTCAGTTGTAAGTCGCTTTGGATAAAAGCGTCTGCTAAATGACTAAATGTAAATGTAAATGTAATATGGTTGCGTTGCGTAATGTGAGCCTTGAAGCAATGAACCGCTGGATTGCACCACTGCAGACGGGTGGAAAGTGAACGGAATAAGTTGTTTCCCGGGCTGGTCAAGTTAGCGCAGAGGTACCTGTGCATCCCGGCAACGTCAGTCCCCTCAGAGCGGGTGTTTTCGGCGGCTGGACTGAAGAGTTTGTTTACACTCGACCTCGACGCGTCCGCACTAGCACGAGCAAAGGTGCGCGAGGCAAAAATGACGTCATTGCGGTATTCGGCGTTTTACAGGCGAGCGCGTGGAGTATAAACGCCTCGTCCGTTTGCGGAGAATCGCGCTGCAGAGCCAGGCAAAAGTATAAACGAGGCTTGACGGTCACCATGTTGCGGTCGCGTCTGACCCCAGGCCCAGTCCATGTCATCAACATGCTTATCTTTCTCAACAAAAATCAGTAGACTGGTGCAGAAGTTTTATGTGAGTTAATAGATATTTTTTTGAGGCTTTGTTAAGTAGCCTAATTTGTTGCTAGGTAGGCTAATCTCTCTCACACTCTTTCTCGACTTCGTACCTTGGATAGTTTTGAGTTACATTGAGTATTATTATGTTTTTGGTTAAGTTATTGTTTAACATGATTTTTTTTATTATTATTTTGGAACAAACGATCGGGTCTCTGTTTGAGGACGCCAACTCGCAGCTGCAGGTTTTGTTGCTTTTTAGAGCACCGCAGCGCATATTTCAAGTTTAGCCGAATGTCCAGTTTAACTGCCGCAAGTTGATTATCTTGTAATAAAGATCTCATCGAGGAAAAACACGCTGTATTTTTGTATTTTCATTGCATTTTTAATTTATAAAAAGTTAAATAAATAATTAATTTTAATATATAAAAAATATTAATGATTAATCGATAGTCGATCGTTAATTCTCCCGACGATCGACTAAGAAAATTTAATCGAATGCCCATCCCTATTACCGACCCTACATTTTTGAACAGTAGTGTATTTCCCAGTTTGACACTTTAACTCACAACAAGTTAGTAATAGGATCAACTAGCTAACCATCTTGACCCATTCCTAGAAGCAACCGAACAGTGTGGTCTAGTCTATTATTGAAATATTCTTTTTAACTTTATTGGTGACGGATTTTCTGAGTATGTTTTAGACTGAAATGGATATAGCAGAGATTGACTCACTTGTCAGCTCTATGCTGTTCAAAACCTGCTTCTAAAAGCCCTGAAGACAAACTCCCTCAAGGCCAGCGACTGTAAAACATCTAGTCAGACAAGACTGACGTTCACCCCCTCCCCTACACACACACACACACACGCTCGGATATCCGTACACAATAGCACCCTTCAATAAGTCTGCATTCTCCTCTCCACCACATATTCTTCACTATGACTGATTGCACTTTTATCCCTTTAATCGCTCGATGCCGACCGCTTTGGATGGAAAGTTCTTGGCTGCAAAGAATACAAGACAACATGAACTGGCTTTCTTTGATACTCTCGATTTAGTTGGCTGCAGACGTCCCCAAGAATGGCCGTGTGGAAGAATGCAAAGAGAGAAATGCATTGATGGACTTGGATCTTTTCAGAAGGGCCTTCGATGCACATACTGGCAGACAATAGGGAGCTCGGCACTATGTAGAAAGACGCCACTGAATTTTTCCCTTTTCTTAGGGGAATTCAGTAGGATGTATGAGCTCTGGTCCTCTTGCAGTCGACCACAAAAGACACGTGGATGGCTAATTGTCCTTTTTTGATCTTTAGCCTTTTTGATGGCAGTATTCGGCTACTTTCTAGTACAGTTCCCTTTTCCAAACGTAAAAACGTATTTGTATGTGCTGCATCTATTTGTTACCTTTAAAATTTAAATCAGTGTTGAAGTATTTAAAAGTGATTAAAGTTGATATTCAAACGTTATTTCCCATTTTTTCTATAGTATAGAAAACATTTCATGATCATGGGGAATTTTATGAATGGTTTCCATTGCTAAAGTGTTCTGAGTGGTTGCAAGGGTCTCGTATCGGTCTACATCAAAGCAGCCCAATCACAAAAATCTACTATCCCGGTCCCTAAATATGCAAAATCCAATCATTTCAATGGGAATTCGTAACGATCAGGAATTTCGCCAAAGGGTTAAAAATTTTCCCACACAGATTTTACATCAGGTGGTCACATTAATTTGCACCGTTGACCAACTGGAAGTTGCTTGGTTTGAAAGTGATCGCTATGATACAATAGATGGAGCTTTTTTGCCCATGAAATTTTGTTGAAACTTCACTAATGTCCCCGCAAATTAATTCTATGGGATTTCTGCGCATCTACACTGTAAAAAAAATATTTTTCAAAGTAAATGGTAAAATAGTATTAAAACAAAGATTATTGGACGTTTTACACGAAAATACTATTTCAGCCTTTTTACTTGAAAATGTCACATTTAATTCCACGTGTTACTTGCCGTTGTAATTATCTGTTAAATCTTTTTCACAGTAAATCCTACACAAAAAATGTTTTCATTGTACCAAGTGAAAATCATAAGTCTTTGTTCAAATATGTACTGATAAAATGTAGACGTAAAGCTGTACAAAACCATGCATGCAGGTTTTGTAAAGCCATTTTCCATCTCGATCTTTGTGTGGTTCTTTTCAAGGTCCCATCATTTTATTGATTGTCTTCTACTTCTACTTGCTTTAATTCCATGTTTGTATTGTCCTTTGTTGCGTGTTTCCAAGTACACAATGCTTAGCCCTCAGTATTGTATCCTGTTCCTCTCTACACTATGCCTTTTGGCATTATTGTTTGTGATTGTATGTTTGCACACAGGTATAGAAGACGTAGCATATTTTCAGCATGTTGAATGAATGATTTATATAGCGCTTTCATATGTACTACTGTACACCCAAAGCGCTTTACAGTCATATCAGGGAATCTCTCCTCAAGCACCACCAGTGTGCAGCCTCCACTTGGATGATGTTACATACTGGTTACATATATGGGTGATTCTTTTCTAATTAGGGGAACTTTTATGTCCATTGGGATGATTTTAAGGAAGAATACATTTGTTAAAAAAATCTTGTTTTTAAAAATAGATTCAATAGGCTTTATTATTTATTCGATCTATATAATATATAATTTAATAATTGTTCCTGATTTTAAAGTGTTAAAAGTTTACATTTTGCCAAATCTTCCCAATTTGTATTTCTCTTTAATACAATTATAAAAAGTATTAAAATCAGGGAAATTTCTACTTTGCACTTTTAATCTGAAATAATGAGAGCTTAAAATCACCATGAAATCAAAATGAGCAATTCTTATATTTTGTATGTAATATTTCAGTATTATGTCATTACCATCACACATAGATTTTAATATTTGTTCAAGTCCAAGATCAGATCTTTGTTCCAGGGTTATTATTGTTAGCTTAAAAGTAAAGCCATAAAAAAAATCGTTAGTTTAAATAAAATAAATGTTAACTAAAATGAAATATTATTTAATAATGTTCAATTCTTTTTTTTCTTTTTTTACAAGTTGCTCAGGCAACATTTCTCATTTTTGTGTAGTTTAACTTGAAGTGCTAAAATGAAATCAAATCAAATTATTAAATTAAATAAATATATCTTTTTTAAACTAATACAAATGACAAAACACAACAAATTAAGGGAAAACAGAAAACATACAAATTAAATCTAATTCAAAATAATAACAAAAATGATCAATTCTCCTAAAATAACTAGTTCCAGGACATGATAAATGTTTAAAATAGAGGGGAAAAAAAGGTCAAAAGTGTCCCTAATTGAAGAATATAGCTGTTTATGCATGTGTGTATTTTGCAGGCCTTCTCCTGGTGGCCAGAGGCGATGGGTGAGCACGCCGAGACCTTCCTGTCGCTCTACACGGTGGACATGGACTCAGCACTGGGCGTCCAGCCACAGGACTCCTGGGACAGTTTCCCCCTCTTTCAGCTGCTCAACAACTTCCTCCGAACTGACCGTGTGTAGTGTTTATCACCTTAATCTTAAAATTCAACATTAGAATAAGAAATAATGTGTTGTTTCAACTTAAAAAAAATATGTGCTCTTGCTTGACTTAAAATATTAAGTTTAGTTAACTAAAAATTTGTTGAGAGAACTTAAATATCCAACTAAACTAAAGTTGTAACTAACTGCAGCGACATTTTGTTTCAAAGCAGCTCCACAGTGATAAATAGGAAAATAATGATCAATGATGCAAACAAAATTCAATTCTGCTGTAAAGCAAGCTCTACAAAAAAGACAATAGTGTCATTATTCAGCTAAAGTCAGTTCAGTGTAGATTTAATTCAGTTCAATAACTGTGTAAAGTTTATCAATTATGAAATGAGTTCAGCTATAAGCAATAAGATTGTTTTTCTTTCTCTCTCCTCGCCCTTCCGCTTGTCCAAAGTTCTGATAGCATGTTCTCACTGCTAGGTGTGCTAATTAACACCAGTGTTGCTTTGGAGAACAATACTTGTTAGGAGAACAGGTTAACATGCTGCACTGTTATTGTCAACACACTCATTAGAAATACAGTGTGATCTGTTAGTGGCTCTGGAGGGTCAATTATTCGGCAGGTCAAATATCCGAATCCTGCCAAAGGATTTTATCTGTTGATAGAACAACAACTACAGCCAGTTAAAGATTGTTTCGCGTGTCAAACAGCAGTTTATTTGGAATATATATGGTTGGTTATCTAGGCAGCATGACAATGGAAATGGCAGCCTGTAATAACACAGACAGTTGGCAGAAAGATATAGGGAACTCCCACGCTCTTTCATATACAGTATGAACTTTCTTGAAGAAGATCCCCTCAAATTGCTTTCCTCTGCCCTGTTCTCACTACATTAATCTCACGGAAATTAATTCTAATGAGGGAAGCCTGATGGAAACATGTTGGAAATTTTGGGGAAACTATTTTAAATTTGCCTGTTTGGTAGTTGGTTTTAATGGAAGAATTCACCCAAACATTATTGATGTTGTTTCAGACTTTTTATTGTGAAACTCCAAATGAGAAGTTTGGTAGAATATTCACGCTGCCCTTTTTAAATTTTTTCAATATGAAGATCGATGGCACTATAGAGGCACTATAGACCTTATGTAGCCCCGCCCCTTTTCAGCGCTGCGCTCGTTGTCTTTTGACTTCCGGTCTGTATTTTCACAGCGATCTTGGATAGGTATGAATGAACTGCTCGTAAAAAAATTCCCGGTCGACATTTGTTAAGACATCTGCTTTACAATGCTTATGATAAACATTACAATGCTCATGATAAATTTTGTTAACTCTACAGTGAGTAAATCCACTTCACCAGCTAATTACTCCTGGACAGCGATGCCATAGAAATATACAGAGCGACCGCAAAAACGGAAGTTCAAAGACAATATTCTAAAGATGACGGCGCCCACGTTTCTCTGGTGCATAAGGTCTATAGCACTCAAACATGAAAAAAAAAAAAAAAAAAAATCATAAATCTCAATGTTACCTTGAACTTTTCTCACCAGATCCTCATTTAGAGTCGTCTACTTAAGTAGGCACTGAATTCATCACATGTTATTTCAAATCCTTAGATGCCAGATGCCCCTAAGTAGCAGATAACACTTTGTAGGATATTACGAATTTTGGACAGGGATTCGTTTCAGTTGCGACTCGAGTGCTTTTACAGTTTTTAGTGCGTGCACATAACAAAACATTTTGGTGACATTGACACTAAATGCTCAAATGACTTCCAGCATTATTAAATGGTTGGGAATGAGCTCACACACCCATGAGAGTAAAAAGGCTAGTGTTAATGATGAGGAACAGAGAGATGGGAATTACACTTAATGATGCCTGAGGAGACATCTCTCTCTCTCTCTCTCTCTCTCTCTCTCTCTCTCTCTCTCTCTCTCTCTCTCTCTCTCTCTCTCTCTCTCTCTCTCTCTCTCTCTCTCTCTCTCAGACCTCCATTTCCTTCTAAGTGGTTTAATTACATTGAGTGCATTTGCATGTACGGCAGATTGGGGTAAGCTGTGCCACTTTTTACATACACAGTATGTTGTCTATTAGGTGACTAATTGTATTTGAGGGTGTCTGCAATCAGCAAAAGAAAAGAAAAAAACAATTTAACATATTTTTTTATTAATATATATTTTGTAATGGACTGTTTTCACAGACTGTGATGATTTTCTACAATTATTAACATTATAAATCTAGTTTTTATAACATTATACTTGTACAGTGGACTAAAAGGGTCCGTTATACAAACCTTTTCCAAAAAATGTTTTTATTTGCATTTTCAAAAACCAGGTACGAAAAGGTAGCCTGGATGCCAGCCCGAACCCCGCCCACAACATTTTTTGGTCGGGAAGTTCGGTCTGGACTCGCTCCATTGAGGAGTAATTATGATCAGTCAAAAAATGTTCGGGCCAATCAAATTGCCAGGGCGGGCTTTATACGATGATGGACAGATGATCTGCAGGGACGTAATCATCACGTTATCAAAGAGCGCTTAACTGGTTTCCCTCAGAGATGACTGCCGCTGGAGAACTGAGATGTAGAGATTCCGCTATCGCGTCTGTTGTAAAAGAAATCGACAGCGCATTCATTTTAATAGACGAACAGAGAACTGCAATCAAGGCATTTGTCGATCGGAAAGATGTGTTTGCCGTCCTTCCTACGGGATTCGGCAAAAGTTTATTTTATCAGCTGGCTCCGATGGTCACTAAGCAGATGGGGCGCAATGAAAACCCTGTGGTCGTTGTGGTTTCTCCTTTGGTCGCACTCATGGAGGACCAAGTAAAAGAAGCAACACTAGTTATTTTACTTCTTCCAGCGTACGTGCATTTGAGTTCTGTAGTTGACAACTGTGCTATGCAAAGTAGTTGACTTACTGCGTTGCTCTGATTGGTTGTAGGTCTATCCAATTGAGTGCAGAGTTTTTTTTTTTCCTGGTTCGGTTAAGACACGCCTCATAATCAAAGCCCTATGGAGCAGTATCAGACTCACATTCTGACTAGAATATGAGTATGACGAAGTCAGGCTAACGAAAATGTTTAGCCTGTTAACTATCAGTGACGCTGTAGCGGGACACTTGCCGTTTTCGTTACCGCATATTTTAGTAATCATCATAAATCGAAAATGGAGATAGTTCTGTAGAACATTTTAGCGGGTGCATTTTCATGATATCAACTTCAAATTTGGAAAACAACTTGGTTAGAAATATTTTAGTGTTCAAATTATTTTATTAAATATATATTTTGTATAAAATCATTTTTTTTTAGTTCAGAACATTTGCTTTACAGTACAATTAACTGTATTTAAAATAAAGTAAACGTCTGTAATGTTTTTACACTTTCATTTTTCATTGTTATGCTTTCTGCAATAATCTGCTGATTGTCTTCTTTAAAAAGAGACCAACCTTTGGTTTGTATTCCAAAGCTTTCATGAGTTACAACCATTTAAGATCAGATCTCAAAAAAGGAAGGGGGACAGTTAACAGGCAAAAGTTAACAAATAAATATATTGGGACCTTGGGACCTAAAAAAAAACATTGTCATGTGACAAACAACCTCACGCACAGTTTGCTAGATTACGTGTGTGGAACATCTTACCCCACCCTCCTCTACAATAAAACTATACAACAAAACATAACTATAAAAAAATCAGCTCATTTTACAAACCTTATTAGTAGTTTATGTGCAAATGAGTAGCTCGACAACACAACACCACCATGTTCACATGAGATTTTGAAACCATTAAATTTGTAATGCAAGTAAAGTCACTAATTTGTTTTGTCACTTTAGTGCTGAAAATTCTCTAACACCTTTGATTACCGGCCTTTTAAAATTGCTTGTAAATCTCTCGTTATGCTATATTATCACCGAATAATGGAACACAGCAAGTGTAACAAGGTGGGGAAAAAATCCCCAGAAAGTACAAAAATGATCCTGTGTGAGCCATTCAGAAAGTTTTAGTCCAATCTGATAACATTAAGTAACATTTTCAGGGAAAAGAAAATCTCTCAACATGACCACTGCAGTATAGCTTTAAGAGGTCTATCAATATTTTGCCTTGCACATCAGCCATTCTTCCTTCATGTTCTCCAGCTCACCTGTACAATGGAACGTTCCACAAGCACCTCCAGGACCTGTACATCCCTCTAGTGGTCCGCTACATTGACCTGATGGAGTCGTCTATAGCTCAGTCCATTCACCGCGGCTTTGAACAGGAGACGTGGCAGTCTGTGAAGTAAGACCCCGTTTAACCTCACACTAACATGATTTTGCTGTATGTGTTGTTTTTTTCATCGATTGGTTCTCTTTGCTTTTTGGAGAATACAGTGTTTAAACATGTCAGGTTATTAATAGCAAAGCTTGTTCAAATAACTTGTTCATGTTTCAGAGAATGAAAAGATGATTGGAGAGAGGGAAAAGATTGGCGCCTCCAAGATAGTCGTCCTCCTTTTCCATTAATGCTTTGTACTTTTCTGATTTACTTCAGTTTCCTGTTTATGCTCACCATGTTTAATCTGATATGAATGAAAACCAGGCTGTAGACGTGAAGTCAACTCTGTATGTTGTGATCATTCAGTTGACAAAACAACTTCCAGTGGATGCAGAACTTCAGAAAACACTGGTTGTGAAAATTAGACCTCACGTAGGACCTTAACGCTCATGTACTTGGGAGAATGACTTAACTGTTTTTATGTTTGGAATCCCAATATCCCCAATGATTTACATGTTAAAAAATAATAATACTCATTTAAAATAATTATTTGCCCATAATCATTTCCTCTGACCTAATCAAAATGCTCTAGTTTTTTTTTTAGTTTTTTTTATAAATAATTATTTATAAATCATAATAGTAACTATTATTATTACTACCTATTATTATTATTTATGATAATATTTTGAAAGAAATTAAAATGAATATTATTATTATTTATAATCATTTGCCTTTAAAGCTGCAGTCCGCCGTTTTTCCTCTTTGTCTCCATCTCTGTTCGAAATCTGCAATTGCAGTTATTCGCGGAATTATCAACTTTACGTGAGTTGTACTTCGACACGGCACAGCGCGGATGAACACAATGTTTGAGGAGAGTGTGCGGCTGTCAGTCACAGCGCCGGTGTCGTTACTGGCATTCACAATCACAGATTATTCTTTTTGGAAGTATAACCAACATATTAATTTTCACCGGAAAATGTCATCTGAACAAGTAACATCCACTTTTGTTCTGGTTCTGACATTGCAGTAAATCGCGCTGATTAAATCTAACAATCGCTTATCATATCACGTAAAACCGTGCAAATTACTTTGTTCTCAAATTGTTCATGTTAACAACGTCAGCATTGCGTGACTACATGTATCCTTGTTTTCACATGGGTCCGGTTGCAGTCTCTTTTTTTCTGTAGCCACTCCGAAGTCCGAACCTTTCTGGATCCGCCATCAAATTGATAAGTTTAATAATATCAAGTGCTGTGAGAAAAGGCTATAAATCTCCACCTCCAACATCCTCACACACATTATAGCTTATTCTAGCCGAGACTCCTTCTTTATGTGTACAGATGTGACGTAATGACGCAAAGACATGTTTGAATCTCCCGCGGAAATCCACCAGTACCACTGGAGTTAAAAACATTATTACGGTACAAGCTTACCGCTTTGAATCGAGCTACGGCAAGCAGATAGTTTTGAACACTGGCTGGTTATGTATTTTTTCAAAAATGTATTTTGGATCATTTTTAACCTAATAAATAAACTTGTATTTTGCCCTCAAACATTTCGAATAATAATAAATTGTCTTTAGGTAGTTAATCTGACCCAATTTTCTTATCAAAACACTATAGGGTTTATTATTATTATTATTATTATTATTATTATTTATACATAATAATATATAGTAATAAAAATATTGTTTATTGTTAAAAAATATGATTATTTTTATAATAGTTATATAATTATTATTTATTATTTATATTAAATATATATATATATATATATATTATTGTTGAAGCTCTAACTCTGTTTTACAACAAAGTAGTAGTTATGAACCTTTCAGAAATACTAACATTTTTACTCTTAAGGGGTCGGTTTGACCCCAGCAAAAGACATTTAATAAAAAATGTACCTAAATTAAAATAAAAAAATATATATATCGGGTCTCTTAGACTCCAAACTGAACATGACTCTTAATACAGTACGGCATTGAACAGATTGTGTGTCCGTGTCTCACAACCACATTTTCACAAATGAAATATGCCGTCTTCTCCAACTAAGGCGAATCTCTTCCCCGAGTCTGTCAATAAGCTGCTTCCTTCCTTTCTGATGCCACAGAATGATCAGTCAACCGCTGTTTATTCTGCTCTTCATCTGATGAACTGTCTTATTGTTCGCCTCCTCTCAGTGCTTTCTGCTCTTTTACTCTCTGATCTCTGGCAGGACCATCACCAACAATCTGCCAAGCGTTCCACTGCCCAGGGTTCCCAACCTGCCTCTTAACCTCCCTCAGATGCCCAGCTTCTCAGCCCCTTCCTGGATGGGGCCGCTGTGTGACAGCACGTGTGTATGGGCCAGCTGGGCGCCATCGCTGCTTACTGTTCTTGACATATGCTTTATTATAGCTGCAAAGAGGTCATATGACTAGTTAGAACCAGTCTACAGCCCTTAAAAACACTCAAATATATTTATTGTGGCATAAATGCAGCCTAGTGGATGCTTCCAATGGTTGGTTTTAGTTATGTTTAACACACAAATGCTTGTTTTAGCAATAAGTTATAACAAAAATGAATACACTTTAGCATAACGAATTTAGTATTTAAGCACACAGAAAGTGCATCCTTAATTGCATGACTATGTGAGTGTTAGTTTTTGTAGATTTTCTTTGTTTCGTGTCTGTCACCTTGGGTTGGGAATCAAGAAGTTGTTTTGATTCCTCCCCCCACAAACATCATCTTGTCACGAATATCTGCGTTCTCTGGGACCGTTGTCCAGGAACCGCTGAATCTACAGCACCACAACAAACGAAAGCGTTTCAGCCGAGTTGAGAGCTATTTCGCACGCAACAATTTAAAAAAAAAAAATAGCGCAACTTGTATAATTTGTGATTGTTCTTTTTAATTAATTGGCAAAAAATTTGTTTAGTCTAAACGAATCAGTCTGCCGACTCACTTTAAATCTCGACTTATTGAATCACTTGCAGCTGAGACTGAACCACTACTTTTTTTATTGTATTAAAGTAATGTTACTTTAATAGAAAAACTAATTTGTTATGTGAAATTTCTTATGGGTCAGTTCTTTTGAATGAATCTGCTATAAACTCATGTTTGGTTAGACAGTTGTTTGATCCATCTACTGACATGCTTGAATCTCAACTTATTGAATCACTTTCAGTTGTTGACTGATAGTCACATGATAGAATTACTACTTTTTCTGCTTAATTACGACTTTTTTATTGTATTAAGTCCTTAAAAAGAGTAATTCAATGAAAAACAACTCATTTGTTATGAAAAATAGTACTGATTTTGTTTAGTTATATAGTTAAGGCCAATGATATGAGGTTGGGCTTCTTCAAAAGTACAAAAGAATCATTAATGGAATTGGTAAGAAACCAGAATCATTAAATGTATTCTGAATCAGAACCAAATTATTCAATTGCTTCCGATTCCCATTCCTGTCACCATCAGTGATGTGATTGCTTGAAAACATTGGTGTGATGGGGTTCATTTTAGTGCTTTTTGTGCCAAAGTTGCTTGATAGCTGTTATATAGGCCTACTGTCATTTTAAGGCGGTGATGTGTGGCTTTTTTGGTGTGATTCATCGGTTAAATTTAACACAGATGCATTTGATTTACAGCGGACAAGGAATTAATTTGCCAGATATTTTGTGAGTACCAGAGATAGCTATTGCATGCTTGTGTTTGGTGTGTGTGTTGTCCCTATATCCTGTTTTTTAGTCTGAAAGACAACAATTTCACAGAAACCTGTTTAAAAGATAACATGGATGCCCAGTCTCCATAACATTCATTTTTCTTCCTAAAGTGAAGCGCCCAGGTATCATCGGTTCAATCTGCCGAGCGCGAGAGCGTTTAATCCCGCTGTGAGCATGTGATGATAAACGGCAGGACTATTTTCTCTCTGCGGTTGGGGGTTATCTGGGTAACACTATAGTATTAGTGACCTCATACACCAAAATCCAGGTTTATCCCAGAACAATTCGCTTCACTCAAAACAAGATGTAAACAGCGTCGCTCTACAAAAGAACTTCTGACAGCTACGAGAGCCTAAATAACGTCGGAAAGTTAAATCGCATCCGTCTTAATTAGCCTGAAGAGTGTGAACTGCAAAAGCACACCAGCTTTCAGGCCTGAAACAGTGTCTGTAGTGGGTGTAAGTCAGAGGGGACTCTGTGGTTAGCTGGTTGTTAGATTCGGCGAGAACTTTGTGTTCTCCCTCAGGGAGTCTCTTCAACAGACGAGAAACTGGTCCATTTGTTCATCCTGTGACGGAGGCGGAGGCGCGCACCCCCGGGGGGGCCTTACAGACCGTACCGCCGCTAATTAACCGAGTGGGAGCTTGCGCTCGCCCCTTTTAATTGCACAGCGGACTTTGCCAAACGGTGGTTTATTTTCCCGGACCGCCACTTGTGAAGGTAACAGTCTTTTAACAGCAAGTGGACCGAGTGGCCTTTTTTCGTCTCGTCGCGTCACGCACTCGAGCCCAGACTGAGTTGTTGTGTCGACTGCGGTTGACACGGTGATGTCGCTCCATCTGTCTCGCTTGGCGGAGATCTCTTGAGCCCCTGCGAACCCAGCGGAGTCGACACACAACATAGGTGGAAATTGCTCGTCTCGATCTCGACTCCCTGCAGCTTGTGGAACAGCCACCCTTAACCCTTAACTGACCGTCTGTCTGCTGCACTTCAGTCCGCCAGTGATGGACAACTTGACTTTTACTGAGTCTCTCTCGCACGATTAGTCGTTTGCTTTTTTGTAATTTGGGGACGACTTAACTATTCATTGACAATGGAAGGTGTTTTCACATTGGAGTTCTCAGTCTCTGAACCCTTTCATTCATTTACATTAGTTAATTTACCAGACTTTAGCAAATGAGAAATAGGATTCATGGTAGGGGTTACATTTAAGGTGAGAAGTGCTATAATGAGATGTGAGATCATTTCACCCATAGAGCCCCGAAACATGAAGTTCAAAACAACTGATATGTTTTATTTGCATTCATACTGTCTTTGGCCATTAAATTGGACTGAGGTGTCATTTTGGTCTATTTTAATTGTGACTACCCATATTAGATGTTATATATAATATTATATTAATGTATAATTATTATTTTTATTATAACAATATTTTATAATTAATATATTAATAATTAACAATTATTAATATTCATTTAATATAATATACAATAGATTATATAAATGTATAGTATGTCAAATTATATATTATTATTATATAAGAATATTTTATGATGATAAAATTAAATGAATGTTAATATATTATAATATGTAATGTTCTTATAATAATCTTATTATCTATGAAGAATATTTGCTGTTGATATATTTATTATAATATTAACATTAACTATTATTTAAAATGTTATTATAATAGTAAAAATATATTTTATTAATTAATTAATTTGATCACTTTTAATATTTATATTTTTTTATTTTATATATTTTTATATAACTTTCAAATAAATCTAAATTATCAGACCCCTGAAAAAAAGCAAATGTGAAAACACCTTAAGATTTATGTTCCAGACCACCTATACACTCTTTCTGTATGCCATCATGTAATCTTTTTTGTAACACTTTGTTAAATAATGCGGTAAATCGTTCGTTTATGGGCATTCAAATACTTAGAAATGCCACAAAACTGTGAAATTATAATATAGTTAAATGGGCATCAAGTACTGATCTGTTTTGCATGAATCTGTTAACAAATTCATTTTTACTATTATAAAGTGTGTTTTGTGTACTTTGACCTTGGCATTCATGCTTTCTCCTTTTTATATTTGTAAAGTATTTGCAGTGAAAAAATGATGTAAAGTCGAAATGCAGACTTAAAGATCAAGCGTGTGCTGACGTGTCACGGTTTCTGTCTTCCTCAGTAACGGCTCGGCCACATCAGAAGATCTATTCTGGAAGCTGGATGCTCTTCAGATGTTCGTGATGGACCTGCACTGGCCAGAGCTGGAGTTCGCCAAACATCTGGAGCAGAGGCTCAAACTGATGGCTAGTGATATGATGGAAGCCTGTGTCAAAAGGTCAGCTATTTAAGAACGAATAAATGGCTGTCCTTTTGCAGCCAGGAGCTTCATGTAACTGATTTCTCTGCCATCTCTGATATCTAGGACCAAAGCTGCCTTTGACTCGAAAATGCAGAAGTCTAGCAAGTCCACCGATTTCCGCGTTCCCTTGTCTGTGTGCACAATGTTCAATGTTCTCATGGACGCCAAGAAGCAGTGCTCCAAGCTCTGTGTTCTCGACCAAGGTCAAGAGGTATGTCACAAACTTGAGCGGACACGTCTATGTTTATCTTAGTACTGTAGATCTTTTATGAACACCAGAAGTCTCGCAAAAAGCATCTGGTCTTTGTTCAACTGACAGCAAGGAGGTAAAAACAAGAATAAGAACATTAAATTACTTTACACTAATCAGCCGTTT